TGACTGAAATGTCAGTGCTGACTTCAAATCAAAAAAATGGAAAGTGTGTGTTCTAAAATGCAGCTGCACTGGTATATATGACATTACTTGGAGCCAATTTTCTGTTTGTGAGCAGTGGTGTAATTGATTATTCGTAAATCTATAAACCTTGCATCAAATCTTCCATTTAGTCAAAAATTTCGGAAGTTCGTTTCAGAAATACTTGAAGCACCTCTTCATTTCTATTATAACTTTCTCTTCAGCTGATGTTCTAACATTTAAATCAAAAGTTTTAAAACATAAAGAAAATTGTTGAAAAATTCATCATGACTGTGTCTAGAGACACCCTATCATACAAATTTTGCTTACAAGTTGAGGATAGCGGGTCGTGATACTAAAATTGGATTAGTATTGGATTTGTCAGCAATCCTAGCGGAATTTTGAGAAATGGAAACAGTGTTTCTCCTTACTGCGTATGATGGCGATTTTGTAGATTTCTTTATCAAACAGTATCAGAGAATGCATGATTTTCTCTTTAGGATAGATTTGAAAAGCCACATTGGAAAGGTAAAAATAAGATTTTCAAAAAAATTCTGGTGCATAAGTTGTTGAGCACGTTTTGGATTCCTAGCGTATGAGCTCTCCCTGTTGATAGAAACGTGTGAAGATAAGTACATCAGAATTTTTTTATACCTAAGAGAACAAGAAGAATGCGGGCGCCTTCAAAATAAGTCCATATTTGCATGAAAAAAATTGGAGATTTATGCTTAGTTTGGTGATAAATTATAAACAATCTGGCACATGGCAGATGTGTTTAAAATGCAGCGAACTAACTTTATAGCACGTCCATGATAAAGAACATTGTTAGCAAGTAAGCTGAAAAACCTTTCTCACGTAACCTCGAGTCATTCGTAACTTAATGTGTGAGACTGCACACTAAGCCCTATTAGCGACGGCTCCCGTACTAGTAACTTTCCATTGGAACATTTTCTAGCCTATCAAAGTATAGAAATGTGTTTTACTGACTAACATGTAACCAACAAAAACAAAAGAAATAAGGAAAGAAGGAGAAATCACAGGAAATGAGCATGTTCTGGTTTTGCAGTTCGTCAGTCAGCGTGTATAGTGTGCACTACACATATTAAGTTATAAATGACTCGACGATAGCTCAGTAGGCTAGAGCGGCTGAGAAGCAAGCTTAAATAATTGAATAGGAGAGTATTTCTTATACAAATCATAGCTAGTCAGAAGTGATGAATAAACGAAGCTTGCTAATGACACCCTGTAACACTAAAGACAACTAGAGTGCAAAACGATCGATGCCAGAACGTGCAGAAATGTGCGATACATCAGGATGTAGCACGGACTCTGATGGAGAGCGTAAAGAGAAAAATTGTTAGAAAAACGAGATCCGTGACAATCTAATCTCAGCTGTTGCCGATATTGCTCTATAAATGTAGACTGACTAGCAAAACTCGAAGCGGATAGTGTGAATAACCGCGCTTTTTTTCATATTTGCCATACTTCTGGATTTTGGAACGAGACAATTGGTCATTATAAGAGTGGGAGGAGGAGAGGAGGAGAGAAGAAGCACGAGGTAAAATCAAGCAACTTAGCATACAAATCCTAAAGTTCTATTTTTAGATTCTCGATAATCTTCTTATCTCTACTGCGAGCGGAAAAAATTTGTTTTTGAGAAGAGTAGGTTCACAGGTGGGGTCACAAGTTCGATAGGAACGAAACTGAACAGACCTCGAAATACAAAAAAACCGAGGAAATGAGCTTTTTGCGTGATCCACGCGTGGAAGTAGTATTGTGAAAACATCAGAAACCTTAGCCACCTTACGTACACAAGAATGCAAAATAAAATTTTAAGGAGCGACATCATGATAAAACGGACTGCTTTGCTGTTTTCCACAAAAAAATAAGTACAGAGGCCTGACAATTAACCGTCAGTATTGGAATTCTCAAGTAGTCAGGTCGTCAGTTTTCCGAGTTAGTGTCTGTGCAAAAATCTGTTTGCCACGAAACTATTGGAGAAAGTTGCATAAGCTCTTAATCCAAGCATTTGGAAAAGTTCTAGCATGTGGTTACAGATAGTGACAAGCAGGCAAAACATGTGGCCACTTCAAAAATCGAACGTCATGCGCTAAATTGAGGCTTTAGGGCTTTTTGGGGTGTCACGAACTTGGAAATGTGCAAGCCATGAACTTCATTCGAGAGTAAACAAAAAGTCCATTTTGATAATTAAACAAGGGCGAGTCTCTGCAATAGTGACGCACAAGTCTGGAAATGAAGTCCGCTCATGATACGAATGCAAGTACTAAAATTCGTGGTTTTGTTGAACATCATTTCTACTTCTCACCAGTCCTTCACTGCGGCACTGCGCTTTTTCACATATACCGTCATGAGATTTACTTCCTCTCAATTATAATCTAGGCAAATTTCTGTGCATGTTGACAAATTAGAGATATACAAACAGCAACATTTACGACCATTGATACAGATGCTGATTCTTTATAGCAGCAATAAAAATCTTGGACCATACATCGTCATAAACTTACCCATTTTGCGCGATTTGTTCCGCCCTTTCTCCAAACTGCAACAGTATGCACAGAAAAATTTTGAAGTTACGTAGCATTTTCTATCACTAAATTAGAATATACATTGATCGCGAAAGTTTCTAGGCGCTTATCAATGCAGGACAGCATTTCTTGCTTTGAGAATGTTTGCAACTACCATGTACACTCAATACATCCCAGCTACACTCGTTAAAGGCAACATCTCAGTTTTTCTTTCAGACTTGTGTTTCTTGTCCATTTCGCGGCCTTGCCCCTGACTCTGAATTGCAGTAGGAGTAAAAATTTCATATGTGATCTTTCTAAAATTCATTATGACCAGCGCGGCTGAGCGCCCTGTGCTAATAACGTGCTTTGCTAGTAAACCGGTTTTTGTGCAGCTCAAACTCAGAGTTGACTCGGCTTAACACATGTTATTTAGGCTTGTAAAGGGTGCGTAGGGAAAACGACTTTGGGAAACGATGATTTTGGCAAGATATTTGGTAAGGTAGCATATCCTAACTAAGAAAACATAGCTTAAGTCCTTTTCCATGAAAGCATAGTAAGATTTTTTCCATAGTAAGTTGATTATTAAGCTTTCCACGAATATGCTACATGTTTTTCGATGCGGCGTCATAAATCGGAACAGACAAAAGTTTTGCAGACTTATAACCCCCTAAAATTTAGAAGAAAGCGCAACGATAGTCAAGCTTGTGAAAGGATTTTTTACAGTGCTAAACTGAATTTTCGAGAAAGCTTGAAAATTATTCTATTTATTATACTTACATGATAGTTAAGTCACTTGCACATTTTTATAACTCATGTAAGCAACTTTTGAAAAGCCCCTCCCCCCTCGGTCCGCCAGTGGTAGATGCCTACACTGTTCTTTGGCTTCCTCTGCTATTTTTTACAACAAGAACGGGGATTGAAGTATGTATGGGACTGGTTGTCTCCTTTTACGATACAAATCACTCTGGCGTTCAGACCTCAGAAATTTGTACAAGCCTCTCAAAGGCTTCAATTGGTGAGATGCTTATAAGAAGGACTCTTGACAACAGAGCGGCATTAGTGCGAAAGAGTGCTCCGTGACCTAGTGGCCGAGTAGAAAGCACCTTACGCCGAGATATCGGAGTCGTTTCCTACTCAGTCGTAGTTGCTTCGCGGTCATGCGTATGGCGGATCCTCAACATATTTGTATAGAAACTTCTTGAGTGGGAGGAGAAAATTTCGAGCTTGATAATAATCGCAGCTAGCATGAGTTAACAAGCGGATTCAAACTCGGAGCTTTCGCCAAATTACTACCTGCCGCCATATGCAAAAAAGGACGGCATAGCGTTTCACAACGCTTTCGTTTCCGCCGCGTCACGACATCGCGCCATTACGTCATGTCGATAGACGTAAATTCAAAGATTGTTTGTGTATGCAGCATCTGTTTTTTATTCGTCCTATTTTGATACAGTTGTGTGATGTAACTGCATTAATTGCTATTCATGAGGTGATTCAAATATTTTATATCTCTCTTCGTATCTGGCATAGTAAGAATTCTATATGGAAATTTATGAGACTATGTTCATCTCCACATGATTTTATGATGCACTTCACTTCTTTGAGTCATTTTTTACCTTAAAGGCAGCGTCCAGGCAGATCTGGACCTATGGGGCTTTTACGTGGAAAGTACTTTTGAGGCCCCAACTAAGGCACTGCCCAAGCGGCAGCTCAGGAAGTGCTGTAATGGCTGAGATATTCCTCTCGAAACTGGACCCCGCAACCGTGTTTCGCATGGATTCATGGCGCAAAGCGTGGATCCCGGCGCGAAACTGCCATGAATCCATGCGATTACGTTCGCGGGGGCCAGTTTCGAGGGGCATATCTCAGCCATTACAGCACTTCCTGAGCTGCCGCTTGGGCAGTGCCTTAATTAGGGCCCCAAAAGTACTTTCCACGTAAAAGCCACATAGGTCCAGATCTGCCTGGACGCTGCCTTTAAGGGCCGGGCATCCTTCACGCGATTTCAGTCGCGACGCGATTTGGCAATATTCCAATTGTCCATAACTCACTGTAGACACTTCTATATGTAAATAAGATAGGGCATTCTGTCAATCTACGTAAGTTATACACTCTGCGCATGTGCAGTTTGCTAGTGTTGGTTCTGAAGACTTCTGGCGAACTGCCAAATCGCGTCGCGACAGAAATCGCGTGAAGTATGCCCGGCCCTTTAAACATGATTACAGATCATAAAAGGAACGAGCGTTTTTCTAAACGAAGTCTTCACCTATCGCAGTGCAACGAAAGCCGCGAAGTTTAAAGAAGCGTTTTTTGACCCAATTCGAAATTTGTAAAAGTGCGACGTCGCGACAGGCGCTGTAGTATAACGCCTGTCTTCCCAAGAAGCATAGATACACCATGAAAAGAGGACCAAGGAAAGACCTGTAAGCTGGTCCGCTCAAGTTTGATGGTAGCAAGATGATGTTGAGAGAGACTTTTGGACTGTATTTGAGCTTTACCGGTTACGGCGTCGAATTGGAGTTGCTAATAGTCTTTGCTGAGACGGGAGCTACATCACTGCAGCAGTATCTCCCAGTTCTCGAAAGCTACATTTTAGGTCCAGCATACTTATACCAAAAAAAACTGAAACTGACCTCTGACTGACTTCTCGCGTCTGGAATTTGTGATACCCCTACAATGCTCTGCATTAATGACAATGCTTTTGATTGAAGGCACAATGAACACTATCTACCTTTTAGGCCATGTGAAGAGCAGCTGCTCAGGACAAGATCTAGGATTTTTAGACCTCTGTATCAGAGTAGATTATCACCGTAGGATTCAAATATGAGGGAGTATTTGGCTTGACAAAAGTGCAGACTTGCCGCCCGAATCTGATGCTTATGCTGGTGCAACAACTGTTCTTTTCAAATGCTGCTCTATTCCCCGATGTCAAGCCTGGCGAAAGAAGCAAATGTGATCTCAGATCCAGGATACAGAGCATGCTTGTTTTTATGGTGTCTCGAAGTTAAAAGGAGCTATCGTCGAGTTGTGATCCAATATGGGTATTACACACCTCTCGAGCTGGCCCCCAAGTTTGAATTAGGAATTTGAAAACTTTTCTTAGTTTTCTCTGTTTTGAGTGACTGGTTATAGGATACGTGGTACAGCTTTTCACAGTTTGTTTCGTCAGAAAAAGTTTTACGAATTACCAATGTGTTGTCGGTTGCCGCGCGAAGTGTACAAGCTTACTTATTTGATTACAAATGCTTTAAGGATACTTGAAAATAGAACAATTCCAGCTCCAATTTGGAACTTGCTCTGTTAACAGAGCAAACAGTTGCTAACAACTAAGGGACTTTCAATGTCAATAGATAAGACATGACAGACAAAGTTGCGGGTACTTCCATTTAACATTTATACTTTACTCTGCCGGGTTCCACATGGGTTTTTGTTGGTAGCTGTAAAAACAAGTGATCATCCTTCACGATGGTTATTTAGATGTCGTTCTTTATATCTGTGTTACATTCGTCTTGAAATATGCAAAACCAGTATCAGATAAGCGGACTTTTCGAAGACCTGATCTTAGCCAAGTGCTGTCTCCTGTTGATTCCTGTCACCAAGGTATAATAGAAAGTGACGGAGATAAACCACCTAAACGGGTGAGTGCTGCCTTTCCATAATATCAGTAAAAGAAACTGAGGTAGGCAAGCGCAGGTGGGAGCGTTTGTCAGTCATGAGTTCTTTTCTTTGAAAACAAGGAGATTGGCCGCATCTTTTGCATCCTAAGACACTTGCTGAACGTGTAACTATCAAAAATAGCCCCCCGCGCCAGTTTTGGGAGAGCCCCGGAGCAGCGAAATGCGTGAAATGGCAGGGCTCCGGAGCGCTCCAGAGCGCGAAGTGGCAGACTCGCGCCATTTGCCCGCCGGAGGTATCCCTTCGACTGTCTGCGAAGATCCATTCGTCAAGAGAGATGAGGCCTCCGCCTAATGTTCTAAGCAATGTGTTTCACACTCAGTGTGAAACACATTGCTTTGAGCTTTCAAGAAGCTTCTTGCTTTCGACTTGTTTTTGCAGTGTACAGTCAGCGAAAGTAATGTAATTGTTCAGTATTTAGCAACTAATCTCCGGACATCAGCTTGGTTACCGCCCTTTCGAATCGAAAGGGCGGTACACGTGCAACTCAAAAGTGGACAGTATTGTAAAACACTAAACACCGGCGGTCCTAGAATTTCCGAAATTGCTTGCATAGATAAGGGATCGGTCAATGTTTGCCAGTGTTGCCAATGATGAAAGTGTTGAAGTGTTGCCGATTTCGAAAGTGTTGGATGTGGAAATCATTAGTTTTGCAGTCTCATTCTTCCTCACCCATCCTGCAGGTTGGCGAGATCGGTTGAGGAAGAAATAAATGGGAATGAAAACATAGAAGACAAGAATATGGACGCTTTCGCATGCAGTAGGTTCTCACACAAACTTTTTTGAAATTAGAGGACTTGTTTGACATAGGCAAAATCCAAACACGTACCTGAGAAAGCTGCAAAAATCTAATGAATAATGCTTGTCGAGTGGTCTTCTTCACCCAATTTTGCAGGTTACGAAGCAGAACTTTTGTTCACTATTCGCGGAAGAGCTGAATGTAACAAGTACATGCACTATTCACTAAATTTTCGCAGTTCCTATAAATCATGTGTATGAGGATGTCTTGCATGCGAAAGCGTCTATCTTCTTGTTTTCTAATAAGGAAAGCTACCTAACTTAGCTCGGCCTTTTGGTAAAAGGCATGTATATTCTGAATCACCTTCCAACACTGATTCCAAATATGCTATTCCTAACTGCCACGCACTATTTAAGGGCTTTTTCCTGCGCCTAATTGGCATACTACTGAACATGAGAAGTCTGTCTGTAGATAAAAATCTGGGAAAAAGGTACTGAGGTATCGAAATAGTACAAATTTTTCCCACTAAAAAAAAGCTTAACACAGGTGTATCAGCACTTAAATGATGATGAGGTGATGCCCGTGGGTCGATGAGCAGCATACCATACCAACTTTGCGCAGGAAAAAGCCCATACGCTTCGGAATGGTGCGTGGCAGCTAAGAATAGCATATTTGGAATCAACGTTTGAAGCAGATTCAGACTATATATGTCTCTTGCCAAAAGGCCGAGCTAAGTTAGGTAGCTTCCCTTGTAAGTTCCGTTCTATTCTTTCTCAACCAGTCCCACCAACTTGCAGGATGGGTTGAGGAAGAATGAGATTGCAGGACCAGTGAATTCCACTTTCAACTTTCAACAACGGCAACACTTCCAACACTCTCAACACCGGCAACACTGGCAAACTCTGACCGAATTTGTTTCACTTCATACCAAACAAACTTACCAGGATTGTGTAACATCTAACAGAAGATTCGCTTTTCAAACTAAGTGCAACTTTCGCTCTTTTTTTGCTGCTCACTAAGACTTTGTTTTAGACTGTCAGGACATTCAAAAATGCAGACGCTTTGTGCCAAATGATGGCTTTCTATGAACCACTGTTCCAAAAGAATGAGTGTATAGAGTGGGCGATACAGGATGTCGTTGTTCGCACTTCTTACGTCAAAAGTAGCAGTCTCAATGTACGTGCCATTAACCGCATTAGATAGCATTAGATGTTCTAATTCAAGGATACCACACCGTTTTGTATTTTCGGTGTAAAGGCTGTGCTTTGCTATTGCGCTGGCAACAGCTGTTTTCGTCATTCTTGGTCTATAGTGGTAAGCAACACAGACAATTATTCTAAAGCATTCATAAGTTTTTGAGTACAGGAGTTTCTGCTGCAGCTGTACCGTAATAATGAAAAGAAAAGCCTTCGGGAGTTCAGAGCCCCATTTGACACGTATAATATAGATCATATGGCTCAAAGAAAGAACTTTTGGTGCTTTCTAAAAGCATTTCGATACCGATTTTATGGTAAGGATGAGTTTGGTTTTTAGGACCAACTAGCTTGCTTATCCGGCTTCGCTCGGCTCTGTCAAAATGTAATAAAGTTCCCATCCTTGTCCCTGTACAGCCTTTCCCTATGCCCACTTCTACACTTCATTTCCCGTTCCCTGTGTTGTTTTCGAAGCATGTCCACTTACCCCCCTGTGCCAACTCCTAGCCCTGTAGCTCGAACTTTGCGAAAATATGATAAAATCGATAAAACTAATCGATAATCCTGTAAACTAATATTGTATTCGGAATCGCCATGCCCACTTACTCTCTCCCCCCCCCTCCCCTATGCCAACTCCCAGCCCTGTAGCTCAAACTTTGCAAAAATCGATGAAATCGATAAAACTAATCGATACTGTAAACTAATACTGTTTTCGGTATCGCCATGCCCACTTTCTCCCTGTGCCAACTCCCAGCCGCGTAGGTGAACTCTGCAAGAAGATCGATAAAATCGATATCGATCGATAAAGAAAAGTAGCCTAAGACACCTGCCTCGCCCCGAGATGTATGTGTGCCAAGTTTGGTCCGGATCCGTTGAGAAATGGAATTTTCTATTCGAAACATACGTACAGACCCACACACAGACACACAAACAGACATTCAGCTATATATATAAGATTGGTTTCGCTCTCGGGAGAAGGGCGATCGAAGAGACGATATATGTTCAGTAGAACAGTCTATGCTTTTCGAAAAGCCAGGTTCTTTTCATGTTTTAGTGCGGGAAATTCTCAAAAGCACTCGGAATTTTTGAGTTTCAAAAGCAATCTGCCCGTTACCAGTCAACAACAACTTTTTGTAAATCTGAGACTGTCTCTGAAAGGAAGAAAACGAGGAACAGATGAATGGAAGTGGGAGAGAGAGGGGGTGTGGAAAGGATTTTGCCAGAATGTTGATCACGGTGATGCCAAAAGACTCAACTACAACTAGCACCTTCCAAAGGTGGAGTTTTCTTGCGCAGCTGTTTTGCGTGTCTGCTAGCTTAAATGGTCTTAGAAAGCCCAAAGATCATATATGTACTGAGTTAGTGCAAGAAGAAGCACACCACATGCATAGAAAAATTCGATTCAACAACCTCATCCATTTTCAGACATTGAGATACCAGATATGATACCTCACTACCGTAGTTCCACTTTGGAGGAAGACTGGACAAAATTCTACGAAGAAATTACTAGGTAACGAGAAATCATCACTTTCTTTCAGGTGATTTCTCACTTTCAATAAACTTAACCTCAGGCGATTCCCAGAAAAAACGGACGATAAAAAGAAAGGGGATGTGGACGGTGATAAGAAAAAAGATGGCGATGAGAAAAAGGATGAGGGAGGTACGACAGAGGGAGATCAGCGAGAGAAACAAGACACGACTCAAAGCAGTATTATAAAAGGAAGAAAACGGAAAAATCGCTTGTTCGCGGTGGCGGCCTTCATGGGAGGTTTCAATGCGTTAACAATCTGCGCAATTGTGACGTTCTTTATTTGGTATAAGAGTTATGTTAAAAAGGAAAAGTTAAAGCAAGCTACTTTGCAGGCAGCTGAAGAGCAAGTAAGACATTGCTTCTACAGCACTGGCAGTGCCGTTTTTCAAAACTGCGTTTTAAACGCAATAAAGCGCCGGAAGTGCCGCATTGCTATAACTTCTTTCAGGTTACTCCTATCGAGCTCTGATTAAAATATTTGGAACCGGCGCTGTCTGGTGCATCCGATAGTATATTTGAAAATTGAAAAATTCACAATTTTTTTGTGCCCCACGGCGCAATAAACGTGATATTGCGTCGAAAAAGCCGCATTCGAATAACTTTCCACAAAACTACTCTTTCTGATTTTCCTTGTTATATTCGGATTCAGCACTGATTGATCTATCCGACAGTATATTCAAAATCTAAAAAAGTCAATTTTTTCATGTGCCGCAGGGCACAATAAACGCGTTTTTGCGTCGGAAGTGCCGCATTTTTATAACTGCTTTCATATTTATCCCACAATAATCTTGATTGAACAGTTGTCATCAGTGTCCCTCGAGCTATCCGCCAATGTGTTTAAAAGTTTGAAAATCTCAATTTTTTAGTGAATTACACGTTTTAAATTATTTTGCTCCCTTTTTTGCACTGATAAGCTGATAACGGTCTTCAAAGTAATTGTACAAAATTCTGAACAACATATTTGTAATCAGTTCATCGCAACCTATCCAATGATATGTTTAAAAACCTAAAATTCTCAAATTTTTTGTTTCCGATTTTATTGGTCCCTCATAGTGGCATTATTAGCTAGGCTGGCTCCGGCCCTTGGCTGCCGTGACCTATCAATATCGATTTTTGCTATCATAACATGCATGGTAACAAAATACAGTACTAAGACACACGTTGAGCTTCACTAGCCAAAAGCAGCACCCAATGAATTTGAATTTCGAAACCATGAACTTCAATTTTTGAAATTCGTTGAAATTTGAAAAATACCCTTAAATGACTGCAAATTCCAGGCAGTAAGACACGATTATTTTAAATTATTATTAAATTATTTTGTCACCCTTCTATGCAGACATATTTGAAAAGGAGCTTGCTTTTCTAGCTGTAGCTGATTAGCAAGAAAATTTTTTCTTAGGTTGAACATGTGTTTTTTCTGATTCTGTGCTTAGTTTCAAAGAAATAGCTTTAGTAGGAATTTCGCAAATCTGACTATTCATTGGTCCTTAGTAAGTGTGACTAAAACAGCTACGTGATCATGACCTCACACTTCATCGGTTTTACCACTACGATTACACGGTTCTCAACGTATGAATTTTAGGAACAAGTTCGTTACAACCATAACACTTGAGGTCTCGAAGTATATTAGAACAAAAAGTGCTCAAATGATAATTTTGTGTCTGACATGAGTCGATGAATTTTTTGTGTGGTAAAATTCGGCGACAATGCCTTTCGATGTGTTAATTGTGCCCGTGGTGAGCGGTCGAGGTCTCAAAAGCAAAAATCATAATTTCTGATTTTCGCTAACTCAAACTCAAATTCGTTACGGTTATCATCTGACTAATTAAGACATCAAGAGCAAAAATAATAATAATCCTGAATTTTGAGAAGCCTTTCAATTTTTGCCAAGTTTGATCACATCTTCTAGCTATTCTGGAATTTAGTGGTGAAAATTGTATTTCCTGATATCGCCATTTTCTTATTGAGCTAGCAAATTTAGTCAAATAAAAATTAGACTGCAATTATCAGAATCAAATTAATGCTCATTACCATTTGTTTCTTGCGAACTACTAAATTATCCTTCTTAGATGCTAAGCTAGGTCGAAGAGCATTGAAAAAGAAATTAGAAATGCTCTGATGGTAAATTCTATTCGACAATCTAGCGCCAGTGTTGTGATGGAACAGTTCGCAGGCAGTAGACCGTTGAGGTGTGAAAACATGCCCTTAGGAGAATAAATTGCCCCAAACTGAGTGAAATATCAATGGTTTCGGTTTCGGGACCTATTTGTCAGAATCAAGGCGCTGGCTCATTCTTCTTTCGAGTAGCTCATGAGGCTCAAGCATTCGATGAGAATTTCATCCCGCTGAATTATAGCGAAAACTTGGTCAATCATTTCCTGTTTTTGCCAAAAGATGTATGCCTTGGGTTTTGGAATCATTTGTAGACCAATTTTCTCACTCTCAAGTGCACTGAAATGTTTTTTTTTTCAAATTGCCGCAGATTTGCACCAAAAAAAACAAGTAGCATTTAAAAGTTTTTTGCATATCAGGGCCACTTCCATTTCTTTATAGATAACTAGTACTTCAAGACCATAATGCGTGCAGATCAACTGGCAGCAACTCAAGGATGCCATATGTCTAGAAACAGCATTTTCTTCAATACAGCTTTTCGAAACTTCTTGTCACAATACGATTCTTTATTTGTGGAGGATTGTTGCAGATCTCCAAAAGCAAATGTTTTTAAAATCCAAAACGTTTGGTTCGAGGTCATGGATCGATCAAGCAATTTCCCTGTTCTGAGCAGGGATTTCTGAACTGAAAATACTGAAGTACTGAATTTTACATGTATCTCATACATTGCTCATCCTTTCGATTGAGTTAGACTTTCGAATCAGAAATATTCATTCAAAAGAAGATTTGAGAATAGAATGAAAATATTTTTCTGAAATTTTTCCCATATTTTAGTAAAGAGCTCTGTCTTCAACTGATTTGTCAAAATCGCATTCACAGAGCTAAGGTTTCAGTGAAAATTACTACGGTGCGAACATGCGTTGTCACAGATCTAGGTGCAACCCGAGCTCGGCGTTGTTGATAATCCTCTAATATCAACTTGGAAAATCTAACGATAAGTGATGGATATGACTGAATCTTGATATACACAATTACCCTGTGAATAGAGAAATAGATAGAAAGTTAAAGTTCTAAGTCTGAAGTTCGGAAACTCAGGAAACTGGTGAGTATGATGTAATTCAGAAATTGAAAATAGTCATTCACTCTGCTTAGATTCACCTTGTCTTGAAATAGTAGTGCTATTTCTAGTTTCCCAAAAGTCATGAGAGAAATACATAAGATTGAATTCGGTATGCGTGTACTACCAAACCAAAATTTCAAATTGGAAAACTCAGAGTGACAATGGCAGTACATTCCAAAAACAAAACTGGAAATAAGCGAACTTGAATTCTGCTCAATGTGTCTTGAATTCTGAACAATTAGGGGTAATTTCTGAATTTTCGAGATTTCAAAAATTGAAGTTTATGGTATCAAATCCCAGGTTCCACTACACAGCGCACTTTAGAAATTTGAAAGTGTTGGGAGACATAACTTTTACCTTCATCAGAATTGCCTGGTTACGAAAACATGTCTTGTACCTTAGTTTATTTTATTCAGTTGTGGATGCACCTGCCAGCTGACCCAGACATGTCCAAAGGTGTGGAGTGATCTAAAGGAATATCATCCAAATATTGATTTGTTTGGAGAAACTGTGATTTTTGATTATTGCTGGTGTGATCCGCAATAGGTAGGAGAAATGCGAGACGGTCAAGAAGATCTTGCGATCTCATCGGCTGTCATCAACTAGAGCTCCCTTTTGATACTAAAATCCTATGCGAATCTTCAAAATAGTACCAGATAAAGTGCATCAACTAAATAGCTGTCTAAAGTTACCACTTGCAGAGTTTGGAGGGTTTCGCTCGAAATTTGGACGAATACTCACGAATTTGCTACCAACTGAACCCTCATGGGTTTTTGACCTTCAAAATTTTTCTTTTGAACTGATTACAAAATAGTAAGAGTAAGCAGCATGTACCTATAAAAGCTTCTTCAAAACTTCATATATTTCTAGAACGTTATGAGACAAATATGCCCTATTTAGTACTTATCTGACAATAAAAATCGCGCCTCTTGTCATAGATCCGGAGAAATGACTGATTTAAAATTTCAAAATGGAGATCAGCAGATTGACAAATTCTCGCTCGAAGCATGGACATCATCGTGTCTTACTGCCTGGAATTTGCAGTCATTTAAGGGTATTTTTCAAATTTCAACGAATTTCAAAAATTGAAGTTCATGGTTTCGAAATTCAAATTCATTGGGTGCTGCTTTTGGCTAGTGAAGCTCAACGTGTGTCTTAGTACTGTATTTTGTTACCATGCATGTTATGATAGCAAAAATCGATATTGATAGGTCACGGCAGCCAAGGGCCGGAGCCAGCCTAGCTAATAATGCCACTATGAGGGACCAATAAAATCGGAAACAAAAAATTTGAGAATTTTAGGTTTTTAAACATATCATTGGATAGGTTGCGATGAACTGATTACAAATATGTTGTTCAGAATTTTGTACAATTACTTTGAAGACCGTTATCAGCTTATCAGTGCAAAAAAGGGAGCAAAATAATTTAAAACGTGTAATTCACTAAAAAATTGAGATTTTCAAACTTTTAAACACATTGGCGGATAGCTCGAGGGACACTGATGACAACTGTTCAATCAAGATTATTGTGGGATAAATATGAAAGCAGTTATAAAAATGCGGCACTTCCGACGCAAAAACGCGTTTATTGTGCCCTGCGGCACATGAAAAAATTGACTTTTTTAGATTTTGAATATACTGTCGGATAGATCAATCAGTGCTGAATCCGAATATAACAAGGAAAATCAGAAAGAGTAGTTTTGTGGAAAGTTATTCGAATGCGGCTTTTTCGACGCAATATCACGTTTATTGCGCCGTGGGGCACAAAAAAATTGTGAATTTTTCAATTTTCAAATATACTATCGGATGCACCAGACAGCGCCGGTTCCAAATATTTTAATCAGAGCTCGATAGGAGTAACCTGAAAGAAGTTATAGCAATGCGGCACTTCCGGCGCTTTATTGCGTTTAAAACGCAGTTTTGAAAAACGGCACTGCCAGTGCTGTAGTAATTCTTTTCGGCGCTATTCGGCTATCCGGGCCCCAAAATTTTTTTGTCATGGATTTCGCTCAACTTGGCCCAGAGGGGGTATCTGACATGCTGATCATGAATATTACCTTTTCTCCGCAGGAAAACGCCTCCCTGCAAGGTTACGGTAGGTGCTCGGTAGGGGGTCAAAATCACGGATTTGCCCGAAACTTCGTCTAGAGAGGTTATTTGACATGCTGAACACGAATATGATGTTTATTTCGTGCGACAGCGTCATCCAATGGAGTTACGGTACGACTACGGTAAGGAGTCAAAATCACGGGTTTGCCCGAAACTTGGCCCAGAAGGGTTATGCGGCCCGCTGATGCCAAATATCACATTGGTTTTGAACCGTAGCGCCATTTTTTCGGGTTACGGTTGCTACACGGTAGCGTGTGTAAAACATAGTTCTGCCTGAAACGGGTGTAGGGCGACTCGGACGACCGTGAAGCTTTGCCACACGACCAGTGTCGCGCGCTACACACTCTGCTGCGGCTGCCTAAGCAAAGCACAGGGCAAAGATACATTTGCCAAGTTGTGGTTTTGACCCCTACCGTAAACCTACCGTAACCATGTAACCATGCGGGGAGACGTTTTCGTGCGGAGAAAGTGTGACATTTCTAATCAGCATGTCGAATAACTCCTCTGTGCGAAGTTACAGCGGATTTTGAGATTTTGACCCCCTACCTTATGCCCATCGTAACTCGAGAAAATGACGCTACGGTACAAAACCAATGTGATATTCGGCCTCAGCGGGCTGAATAACCCCCTGGGCCAATTTTCGGGCAAATCCGTGGTTTTGACCCCCTACCGCATACCTACCGTAACCCTGCAGGGAGGCGCTTTCCTGTGGAGAAAAGGCGATATTCGTGATCAGCATGTCAGATAACCCCCTGGACCAAGTTTGAGCGAAATCCATGACTAAAAAATTTTGGGGCCCGGATAGCCGAATAGGGCCTTCTTTTCCAGTCAGCATAGAAGAATTTTATTCAATTTGCAGGCAAGTGAACCGTCTTCAACAACACCTGGTGCTCCCTCACCAGTAGCTGCCTCACCTGCACCAGCTGCGGCACCAGCACCAGCTCCAGGAGCAGTCCCAGTTGCTGCTCCACAGCCAGTTGTACAGCAAGCTGTCCAAGGATTTCCAGGAGTTGACCCAGGAGTTGCTCCGGGAGCCGTCCCAGTGGCTCCAGCTGAAGCGCCAGCACCTGCAGCTCCTGAGCAGTTTGTCCCAGAGGGTATCGTACCCGATCCTGCCCCACCGCCCGATTCGCTCGTGGTCAAATTTTGAGAAGATTTCGTTGTACAGTAACATTCATGCTATCGCTATTCTACAGGCTTTAAAAATTGCTTTTTTCGTTTGAATTTGAGTGATGCATAAACGAACTTTCTTTCACCACTACAGTGCTCTAACAATGGAGCTAAACAAAGCGTTTAAGCCTCAAAAACTGAAATATCACAGAATGCGGAAGATACCCACTTGAGAGGAAGAGGACCGACAACTGTTGAGCCCCAGGAAATGTCTTTCTGACGCGATGAAAGATTCATGTGATGTGTGTTGGTGCATCATAAGAGGCAACTTCAATCGAGTTTATCGCAGAGAGGCAATACAGCACTGCTCCATTAAAGTAATATATTAAGTTGCTTCATAAGTCTTGTCCCAAAATGTTTGAAAAACTTTACCAATTGTCCTGTCAACAATTTCTTACAATCTATAGCTTAAAAAGAGGCAACCATGCGCTTTGAGAGTGCTTGAAGCAAGAATCGTTTTTTCATATCACCATGATACGAGCTGATTTAGAGAAACACTCAAACTGTAGTTTTTTGTAGATTTTTGATTTTTGGTCTCTAGAGATGCTGGAAGGTCCTGTAAAATTATTTTTCTGTGAAAAATTTATAGTAACTGGATGTTCCCACTAACACTTGTGATTCGACCTTTTAATTCGACATTTCGGCTTTCTTCGTAATATACCAACTATGACTAGTTAATAGCATTTATTGTAACTTGAAAAAGCTTGAAAAATTGATTTAGACATTTCTAGGCAGGCTTTTAGCAAGTTCCAGCTCAAGACTTATAAAACAAACTAATACATCAAATTTACAGAAAGATCTACGTTGCAATTGTGCAATGCTATCCGAATCTCAAAGTAGAGAAGACGTCGCAGGTTATGCGCGCGCCGGTCCTGGTTTCCACAAAAGTGGTTGAGATGAAAATGCTCAAGGCGGAGTTTCAGCGAGAGCATTAACATTATCAGATATCTATTAGGATTTACCTACTTGCATTGATCTGGTAGTTAATGATAATTCAACCACATAGATGTGAGTTAAAAATGGAACGTGGCTCGCCCTTTTCAATGCACTAGATGCGTTTGCCGATGGCAAGTCGTGACTGACACTCATCACGCCTTTCTCGCCTCTGTTTCCTATGCATCTGCTTCTAAAACTAGCGGGAAAAATGCCAGAAATTTGATTAGAGTTGCCGTTAGCCCTAGTATTTTGACAGTTTGACGACAGTGGCGTACCCAGGATTTTGGCTCGGGGGGAGGGGGGGAGGCGACAAAAAATTTTTCTATTGAAGGTGCGTGGCGTCAACCACGCACTCCGAAGAAATTTTTGGCATGCCTTCTAGAATTTTCACGAGTTCACAACCCCGAGATTAATAAAAGGGGCTTGGCTCTAGCCACGCCCCGAAAATTTTTTCTATAAAGCTAAAATCAATTTTTAAGAAATTTAAAAATTATTTTAATAATTTACAAGTGCAGATAAGTCATTTGCACAACTCTTATAACCCATGGAAGTAACTTTCAAAAATTTCGCGACCCATTCTCGGGGCGGGGGCCTCCCCACGGCCCCTCCCCCTCGGTATATCACTGTTTGACGAAGGACGACTTTAACTCTTGCATGGCGGCGCTGTGGGACGACGCGATTTTGCACAACACTTTTGGCGTGGGAAAGTTTCCTGATTATTTACGAAATGTAAATCTGTTTTGTAAACAACTACAGTCATCTCTTGAACGAAGAAATCTACAGGTTCCAAGAGCGCGAAAAATTGGAATAAATACTGAACTGTGGAAAAAGGACGACCGGGAAAGGATATGCTTCCGCAAGGGGTGTGGGCCACCGGTGGTCCACATCGTCCCTGGTGGCAAAAAGTGCGTGGGCCACCGATGGTCTAAACGTCGTCAATGGGTTAAAGGCAGCGTCCGAGCAAAATTTCGAATGGAATTTTTTTCGCTTGTCTGGGCTTATTACTCTCGGTGATTCTGAAAATGCAACTTGGAGGGCACGAAAACGTCGAAAACGGGTTTTTGCAGAAGCTCTTGATGAATTCTGTCGCCTGCCGCCAAGGTTAAGACGCAGACTCTTTGTGGCCTACATCTTGACTGTGTGCGATATGCGCACTCTGGCCTATCGAACTAACTCGTCTCGGTCGCCGAGGCGTTCCGTTCGCCACTTCCAAAGCGGATTTCTCGCTTCAGAAGCAAATTGGTGCATTGCCAGTTGAGCAAAAACCTTACCAGGACGGGCAACCCTGTATTCTACACTTTCGTATCTGCCCGGACGCTGTCTTTAAGTCTCGATACCCTACTTTCACAAGACAAGCTATAAAGGTACTTATCGTAGTGACACAATGCCTCAAATCCTTGCAAAGTGCTCGTATGGCAGCATTAACCCTTCAGAGCTTGGAGTGATTTCCGGCATACACTACCATCCGATTGAGGATATTGTACAGCTGAAGATCCACGCAGCGAATAAAATGTTTTGGTATGCTGTGAAGTGCTCCCAAGTGAGGAATTGGCTTCGAAAATCCAATCAGAGTCAAGCGCGAAGGTGATCAGGGACCATTTCTTCCGACTCCCCGTCTTGAAATTACCCATCCATACGATCATACGTCAGACGAAGGAAACCTACTTGCAAACTGGGTTATGCAAGTAATGCTTGATTGCTCTATAACCATCCAAAATGATTTTGCTCGCAGTGGTTAAGCAGGAAAGTTCTACAAAGATTTGGCCGACTGTGCTGTGGTCGCGAAAAGACGGGTGGTGCAAAGGAACGTCAAATTTTTATATCAATATAGAATTGGTTGAAGTAATATAAGAACTAATGAAAATTTAGGAATACAGAGCAGATTCAGTCGTTATAATTGATTATTTTATATCATAAGCATCCATGTTCGACTGTCCATAAATCTTGGCATAGTTGCAATCTTCTTTTTAGTTGCTTGAGCGAAGTCCAAGATTGGTACAGAACTTTATCGCACAGAATAACATACTACGTTTCGGCGAACTCGCCTTCTTCAGAGTCTTAACAGATGAATTTGGTGGGTGCAGACCACTTATTTTATATCGTTTATTTCCTTGACAACAAGTAAGAAATTCTTCTGCGTTTCATGAGCGTTTGGCATAACTTTTTCATGTTTTAGTGAATGTACTAAAAGACATTATGGTTCTGGAAGTAAGGAAGCTTCACTGTAATGGTACTTTTTGTTCGATCCACGGCGACACCATTTTTTGTAGGAGGAGCCAGTTCGGGAAGTAAAAAATGTTTGCGACTGAAAGACGCTCTTTTTACATTTCAAACAGATCCCCTGCGTAAAAAACCATTTTATTGATTTCCCGAACTATCAAAATTATACATGAGCACGATACTTTGAAAAATCGTAACTGAAATCAGAGAAAGGCTGAGCGGCTGCAATGACGGGTTGTGCAGCAGAATGCGCGGACAAATGAAGAAAAAAGATGCAGGCGTTTAGGGTTGAGCCAGACTTCGAGGGGAAGCAGCGTACGCTGCGTACGCAGCGTACGCTCGGTATATTTCATCATAGGAGCATACGCGGCGTACGCTGCGTACGTCGCGTACGCCGCGCAGTCTGGCCCAACCCTTAGGAGCAGTGAGCTTGAGAAAATTTAGATGCGACATTAACAAATTCATATGCGATCCTAAAAACAAATAAATGGGATTTTTATGCTCTATAACTCACTGAATACGCAGTTTGATTTTTCAGGATAATTCAAAAAGCTTGCGCAGAATACAGAATGGCAGTAACACTCTCCTCTTTCATTTTTTGTAGGCTTATAAAAAACCAGACTGCCACCTCTGCTTCAAGAGGCTCGCTCTGGTTCTCTTGACTATGTGCTTTACTCGTGCTGACATTCTCATTGTTTTGGAACTCACGATGGTGACCATAACAAGTGAATTGTAAACAACTGCTCACTCTAAAACTTTTCCATGTAACATCGTTGAGAGGATTTAGTTTCTTTGCAGAAAGTTAGTTGCGAATTTGAATCAGTCAAACTCATTACGGTCTGACATGTGCTATAACGAACAGTGACCACCGTGTGCTAGATCTTTAAGCCAAAACTTCCAAGTTTCTTGCATAGAACCTTGAGAAATCACGAATTATTTCACTAACCCATTTTGTTCCTTATCCGCACATAATGTACTTTTTGATTACTTTTTTGGGCCAAAGCCGGTGGCTTACACATATAACCTTTGATTCAACTGGCTTAGCGGCTGGAAGGCGGGGCTTCGTGACCAGTTAAGGCCGCTCGCGCCAGCTAATAAAATGCTCTCATTTACTTGTTATTTGATTTCCTTTGAAGCTTATGGATTTATCCAAACTCCCTCGTCTTACGACTCTTCTCCCCTCCGTAGGTGCCCCGTTTACGACCCCCCTCCCGTTGCGATGGTCGTATCGCACGCTTGACCCTGATTCCAACCGTATCACAGCTTGTTTGCGCATTCATCGGAGCACACAAGATTTTGCCATTTTTTGCAGACATACTCTTAAAAGTGCAGTGATCGGAAGTGAAGTTGTTAGGCAAGCGTTACAAAAGCTTAGCGGAAAAGGACCAATTACGAGATAAAGAAGTTGTGCAAAAAAGATGGTAACAGGTATTTAGAAATGCTTATATTTCATGGCACTTTGAATTTTAAGGTTATTTTAAAAAATTGGCAACAAAGATTAGGGTTGCTTTCTTGTTTAAGTGAAAGAAGATTCTATAGATCCCTTCGTCCCATTCATGGCCACCTTTTACGAAGTGTTCTCTTCCTTCACTTTCTTCACTGCGGATTTACAACCATTTCACATATAACTTAATCTTTACGATTAGTCATTATCAGGCTAGAGGAAGGTTTGTGGCACACAATCACCGGATACGACCCCCTCACTCCATAAATTCTGTCTCGATATCCCCCCCCCCCCAGCATATTCGTTTGCCTACCGTAGACAGACATAAAGGCTCCCAAACGTAACTAGTAACATATTCGTAATTACCATGCCAAATAATCCCTGTTGTCCAAGTAATAGCGAATTCTGAGGGTTTCTTATATTGAGCCGCTCAAGTGATGTGGCCACGTTCAAGCATGGTTAACTATATTTCAAAAGTGAATTACTTCCTTTTTTCATACTCAATACAAAGCACTACTCCATATTCGCCTACACCACCCATGCTTTATATAGCCATAAATGTAGGGAATCAGGAGCCGCTCAAAATCCCGTTTGTCCCATTTTTTCGCTCGCAGTGGTCGTGATTCCAGCAAATATTGCTTAAAAGAAAGAAGACAAATTCAGCTTTAATCACTTTTTCACAAAAACTACGTGATTTTCCTCGGAATGTGTATAATTTGTTGTCTAATATTCTGTTTGATGGTAAGTTAATAAGGTGTGGTACAACCCTAGAAAAGCTGTGGCTGCCACATTTTTTCAAAGGTTGTGCACATTCCATGAACCATCAAACCACTCCAATACCTGCATCTTTAATATCATTGCTACTTCTTAACGTTCTTTACACAGCAGGAATTTCCTTTGAAATTATTTTTTCGGGAAAAAATATAATCGTTTTTTTGACTTTCTAAGTTCGCGTACTGCGTGAATTGCGGGTTAAGGCGACAAGAATGTATATACCAGCCTAAACCTCGTAATTTAAACTAAGGTGATTTGAGTAAAATTGGTCTTCTCTAGTCTGAGTCATTGGAAGCGAAAATAGAACAAACGAGATTTCGGTTTCTCTTAATTCCTTAATTTGGAGATTATTTGCAGTAGAATTCTACTGTAAGCGAAGAATTTGCAGTTATTTGTATTGAGTGCAGAAGTATTGAGTTACCTTAGAAACAAAAAATGACCACTTGGGTGAAACATTTAGGAAACTCAGAATTCGCTGAAACTTGGACCACAGGGATATTTTACTTGCTAATTACAAAACGATGCTCTTATGCTTTTACGGATCTTTCATCATGCTTCCTATACGTATACGATGCTGGGCCAAACCTTCAATGTGCTGGTATTATGCATGATGGGCCTATCTGAGATTATTAACGAATGCCATGTTATCGCTAACCCCTTGGTAAAATCACTCTGGTAGACCTCCTCCCTCCCTGACCCGCCAACACGACACCCCAGGTGTGGCATGCCACACCTCACGCTTGACCCTGGTCATTATTCACTTGGTAGCTCAACAGCTATGACTACTTTTGTAAAGGTTTTCTGGAAGTTTTTAGAAGTTACCATAGATTAGCGCAAAATCTTTCGTTTCTTTTTGACAAGAGAAGGTGTTGTCTGCGGCGTGAGAAGAACTCCCAATTTCTATTTGTAATTCTAGTGCTAACTATGTATAGTTTCTTAAAAAAAAAGTCGCGCTGTTACCGTAGTTCGCGACATTCGCGTCATATCGCCACATTGCGATTCAGAGCCGACGATCACGAATAAGGGTACTATTTGAACCTGCTGACACTTTGCACATCTTTTGGTACATAGGAAAATCTGTTGTCTAGGCACACGGTAGCTAGTCAGTTTCCAGCATGGAATGATTGTTTTACGTGTTGTCGGTGAAATCCAAGTGCCCACTGTGCACTTAGGACATTTGAACAATAACTTTAAATAAAAACTGTGCGATGTCGCGGTAAGTTGTGTGGCACCCTTGGATATTTGGGGTTTATCCACACCGGATAGAAATGCTGTTATGCTGATGCGAACTCGGCAAGTTGCAAACTCCGACAACTGCGCCATTCTTTACTTTACGAGCGGTACTGCGTATGGAAGCTGGCTTAGTTTCCTTGCTAAACTGTATCATGCGGACTTCAGGATAGTATCTCAGGACCTATATTATTCTTCTCACAAACGTCACAAGATGAATAAGATAAGGTCATGATACAATAGCCCAGAGCGAACTACGAAGCTAGTTTGAGCTCAAACCCATTCCGCAGGCAATTGAACAATTCAGCGGCTATCTAACAAACCCGTCCTTGCGTCAACGGGTTGCGAAGTTGACACAAGACTTGCAGTTTTCTCTGTAAAGCTTGCGCCCAAGCATCATCAAACCTTGACGTAATGATCGTTAACAACGAACATAGCCACTTACTGTACCAAAGCGATATCTGTTAACAATTGATAAGTGCACAATCTTGTGATAACAGGTAGGCCACCCAAGCGATTCAAAATACAAGCTCTTTCGTGTCGCTCTCATTCTTTTGAAATTACTCATTTATGTTTAACCAGTGCGTCACCTCTGCTTCGCAGAAGCTCGCACCAGTTCTTATCCACATGTTTTTGTGAACACCCAATGGGAAAACCTATATCTCACTGGGTAATGCTGAATGGAATTAAACAGCTAACTCACTTCACCTTTGCCAAGTGAAATGGGTAATAATCATGAGCTACAAAGAAGCAGAAAATCAGACTGTTCCAACTTCTTTTACAGAAACGATGAGAAGTGCATATGGCGATTTTATGAAGAAATTCTTGATCTCCCATCTGTAATCCTCAG